CATGTGCTGATAGCCACAAGCCTGGACCATTGGTACTCTGTTATCCACTGTCTCCCTGTGGAGCATCCCCCTCCATTATCTCTGAGCAGGACTTTTTGCCACTCTGTTTCCACTTCTCACCCCCATTGACAAGTGCTTTTTCACAGATCACTGTTGTACTGGGAATCATCCTTCTGCTGAATATTTTCAATCAATCTTCTCTGTCATCTACGTAAGTAATTTCAGAAGTATACTTATATAAAATTATCTCAATAGGAGAGGGAAGAAGGGTCTATTCAGCCAGAGGTTTTGATAGAGTTAATACAAAGTACAAAACTCGAAAGCAGCTCAAGTGTCTTTTTTTTTTTTTTTTTTTTTTTTGAGGGTACCAAGAATTGAACTCAGGATCTTATGCTTGTCAAGCAGGCGCTTATGCTGCTATCTCCCTGGCCCCTTTCAAGTGTCTTTTAAGTTGGTGTTTTGGTTGTCTCTAGATGTTTTCCCAAATACTCATATAGTTGGGGTGGGGGAGGGGCTTTTTCAGAAGTAGCTGAATCCAGGGTGTAATTTATGGTGCAATGCTAGGATTAAAGGTGAGTGATTACTAAATCAGTCCACTGATTGGCCTGGCACCACTTTAATTGTGGTAGCCTGGATACAATGTAAGGAACCAGAAGAAGGATGTCTTCTCCCTTGCTTGCTTTTGCTGTTTTCTGCAGCCATGGACTGATTCTGTGTCACTCCACCCTTTTTTGGAATCAGCTGATTATGGAATGCAACCACAAATGATGAACTAAACAAACCTCTCTCCCTTGAACTCTCATTGAGTCAGGTATCTTGTCTCAGCAACAGAGAAGACAGTTGGTCTTTGCACCAAGTACTATTCTAGAACTATGAATATCTGTTCAGTACTTTGTATAAGGAGGTAAATATTTTGGCATTAGAAATCTTTGTTAATGATTAAAATTTACAATTTTAGTTGCTGTATGACCTTGTAAAATTACTTAATTTCTCTAGGTCTGTTTCTTCTTCTTTTTTTTTTTTTTGGCAGAACCGGGGATTGAATTTAGGCCCTTCTGCTTGCCAGGGAAGTGCTTATTTTACTGAGCCCCAAGCCCCAAGTCTGCTTCTTTTTAATGTAGAAATAATCACATTTACTTCCTAACATTGCAGTTGAGATTATATGTGTCTAAAGTTTTCAATAAATGTGCTTTCTTCACTGTAACTTTTTATATCTTTTTATGTATTTAGTACAGGGTGTACAGCAGATCAGACTGATAGTGATCCTTCCTGTTTTTTAGCTTCCCAAGTGCTGAGATTACAGGTATGCTACCACACCAGGTCTGTCACCATCTCAGCATGCCCCAGGGGTGGGGTCAGCACGGCAGGTCTGCCTAAACAGGCTCTTTAATCTATTGAGCTATCTGGCTAGCCCTTCACTGTGACTTTTTAAAGTTTTTTTTTTTTTTGGAACTGGGGATCCAAGTCAGGTCCTTTTGCTTGCCAGACAGGTGCTTATGCCATTGAGCTATCTCCCCAGCCTTAAACAGTTACTATTTTTTCTAAACTACATTACATCTGCTAATCCCCACCTTCCCCCTTTTGAGACAGGGTCTCCCTATGCAGCTCAGGCTGGTCTTGAGCTCACTTTGTAGCCAGGCTGGTCTTGGACTCACAACGAATCTCCTGCCTCAGCTGCTTGAGTTCTGGGCTGCTAAAGCCTTCGTAGCTATTTAGACATTTTAGTTTTGACTGCTGTGTCATATTTATCCTATTTGATTTTGTTTCAGTCTTTTTGTGACAGGCTGTGGTTCAGGCTGGCCTTGACTCACTTTGTAGCCCAGATTGGCCTCAAACTCACAGGGATCTTTCTGTATTTGGTCTCCCTTGTCCTCCTCCTATTTGATTTTTGTATTTCTTATTTCAACATCTTAGCAGAACTTAAGATGACCAAAAGGAAAGAAAACAAAGGAAAAAGTTTGCTTACTTTGAGAATAACAATTTCAACTCCTCCACTAGAGTTAGAGGGAGCAGCAAAGTCTCCAGCATTACTGGACTCATTCACAAAGAATGGATTAAAAATACATTTTTACAGAAAAGTCATGCAAGGAAATCAAGAAGTGTAATTAAGAGAAACCATTTATTAATTATTCCATACTAAGTTGACTGTTAGATTTTGATGTTGGTGTTCTATAATCTAAAATATTATTTACATGTACTTTTAGAATGTAAAATGTGATAAAAGGAAAAATGTGTGTAGAATGTTATAGGAAAAATATGCACAGACCTTGTAAGAGTTGTATCTTACCATATAATACTGATGTTTGGTATATGTATTGCCACTTTAAAAAGCTTTACTTCGAATAAATCTGTAATTATAAATTAAGGGGAACAAATTTATGGGAAGCAGAATTTGGTCTGATCTTTACCCCCCTGTGGAAGGCTTGTGATTTTTGCTTTAAATAGCAAGGGGAAATGAAACTTGCTAATTCTTTGACTTCAAAATGCAAAAATTATCTTAGTGGAAGTGCAAGTGGTAAATAAAGGCTGGGAAGTAGTCACAGAGAAGTAATGGAGGAGTGGGGAAAGACCTGAAGGATGAGTAGAACTTGGAGCTCTGCCCTGGCCTTGAACTAGACAGTCTGGGTGACTTGCAGAACCTAGAAAGCACCTGCACAAGGGTAACCACGAGGACCTGAGCTCTGTCAGCAATCTGTGCAAGGAAACGGATTCTCTTCGAGGTGCAAAGAGAGTGCAGATTGACAACATGGACATGTTAGTCCTTGGAGATCTGTGTCTTATTTCTGACATAGAGAACTATATGATTATAAATGTGTATTGTTTTAAGCCACTAAAGTTGTGATACTGTGTTACAGCAACAACAGTAAATGAACATAATGTCCTTTCTAACAACATCCTACGTTTATTTCATCTAAATCAAAGTTTATCTAGTGCTCAATCCTTATTCTGCTGGACTGGCACAATATTCATGGAGGCCCTTTTCCTTACTAGTGACATGGTCTCCTCTTCCTCCCACAACACCAGATGATAGTGAAGCTGTCTTATAATAGGATCTCCTCCAATCCTAAGACAAAGACAAACACAAAGGTCTGGTTACCTACTTTGAAAATAATAAAACAATACCTCACTAATTATCTTGCCATTGTGTCTTGGATACTTTTCTCTTATTGTCAAGAAAAAAATACCTGGAACCCAAAATTAAAAATGGAAAGCTTTATTTAGCTCAGTTTGTGGAGGTTGCAATCCATAATCAGCTGGTTCCAAGGCTGGGTGGTATGGCATAGGGGCAACAGGTCAAGTAGAGGGTGGGGGGGGGAGCAGAGTATGCCTCTTTTCCTCCCTTACATTGTATGCAGGCTTTGCAACCATACCATCTACCATCTCCACACTCTCTTTAAGTTCAAGATGTTTACCAAGTGAGGAATCCCTAGCCCCATGTTGGGTCACTTAATTAGGCTTCTAAACTTCTCAATTGTCAAGTTGATCCATTGTATCAGGCATTACACACTGGAAAGCTGGCTGTTCCTCTTAAGGGATATTTTGCTCTCTTTGGTGTTCTATTTTTCTCCTAAGGTAGATCAGTGATAGTCTTTGTTCTAACACCTGGGTCTGCCCCTAAGTTATGTGTTTCACAGTTATGTTCCTCTAAGCTTCTCAGGTCAGAGCTGATAAACCTGGTTTATAAGAAGAATTTCCTCTTTCCCAGAAAAGTGACTTCACTCTGATGGGTGCTTTGTTGCTGTTTGTAAATTTTTTTTGGTGTGCTGAGGTTTGAACCTCAAAGGTCTCTGTATGATAGACATACACTCGACCACTGAGGTACTCACCTAGCCCTTGGGAGGTATTTTTTGTTATTGATTTTTAGATTTAGGTCACCTTTTGGGAGAGTGAGCTTACAAGGACTTTTTCTCTACAGAGAAGCAAAGATAAAGCAAGAGACCACCTAATGCACCAATGAAAATATTTTACACAAGCAAGAAATGATGAAAACCTGAAACAAAGCAGAAGCTATGGGAGAGATTAATGGTTGTATCTTGAATCCTTCGAGGGATGCAGCCAGTGATCTGATATGGCAAGTTAAAGAAAAACAAAGATAAATAGGTTTATCAATACTCACTTGCTGTGTCAGACTTCACTGTTGGGAGTCCAGAGAAATCCTAAATGTTTGTGAGCATATTACAACCCTTCTAACTTCAGATGAGTGGACCTTTCAGTTTAAAAAGTTACAAAAGAGTTTAATTTTGGCAATTCAAAGGTGGTTTTCTAACTCAAACCTGCAACCAGATTTCTTTATTTTCTAATCTATTTTCCTCCTAAACAGTCTCTGGGTTTTATATTTCTCTGAATTCAACTAGTGTAAATGCTAGTTCTCTCTTCCATTCTAGCCTTTTCCCCCCTCCACTTTGCATACTCCAAAAGAAAGGAAGGACACCAGGCAAGAGCAGGAATGGGAACCTGGAGTCAGAGGTGTCTGACTCTTAAATACTGGGAGCCTGAGTTGTGTTAGGGCTCTCTTGCTCCTGCCTGTTCCTGCTACCATTCTATGGTCTTCAATAAATGCAGCTACCTACTACTATGAAGCTTATGCTTGACAGTTCTTTCCTTGCCAAGGACCTAGATTTTTTTTTTTTTTCACAGTCCACTGTAACACAAGTAAAAAAGTTTTCACAACAAATGATACCAGCACTCGCTTTGGGAAAGAAGTATTTCTGCCTTCCTTGAAAAAGAAACTTAAGGGGGCTGCGGAGATGGCTCAGTAGAATAAGTGCTTCCTTGGCAAGTGCAAGGGTCTGAGTTCAATCCCCAGTTCCGAAAAAAAAAAAAAAAAAGAAAAAGAAATTTAATTTTGGCTGTTAAAAATTAAGTGCTTGCTTCGGCAGCACATATATTAAAAAAACTGATATACAGGATACACTGTCGTTCTCCAATATCTGTAAAAAACTTGTGCAAGTGGATTACCTTTTCTAGTGCCTGTTTTCTCAGACAAAACCTAGTTTTATCTCAGGTCAGTCCTCCTGTTGTCTCTTGTACCCAGGTCGTCAGACGAATTATGAATCTCCATTAATTACTTAGTGTCTAAAATTGTATGTTTCACTTAAGGAATAGCAAAGTACAAGGCATAGGACAGTTTCCTGCCCTCCTCGGTTGAGAAATTCTCGTTTCCTGTGGGTACAATCTGTCATGTGCTACAAAGTACCTTGGCTACTGCAACTGATGTGCGTGCACTGCCCCGGAGAATCCAGCGAATTTTTAAACCGCCATCATAAGGCAGGAAATGCAAAATTTCATTTTATCTTCACTTTTGGAGGATTTATGTGGAAGGGAATTACGTTAGGTGCTTTCTGTAAACTCCACAACCTGCCCTACTGACTTGATCAGGTTCCACCGGAAACGCCATACAGCTGCGTACTCCTTCCGGACTCCAGGTGAAAAGACTGACGGGACACCAGCCAATGAGCTCGCTTCTTCCCCGCGGCAGGGCGGTACTTCAGCCCAGCGTCGGAAGCTCGCCCCTGTACGTGATGTGTGTGTGTGCGTGCTTGCGTATACCGTGCAACGCAGACCTTTTCTCCAGTGCGTGGCGCCACCCTGCGGCTGTGAGTCCTCAATGCGACAGCCAGAACTGACAGCCCGCCATGGAGCCGCGGAAAGAGGCGCGAACCCCCCGGGACACGGTTGCGCGTCCACATGGTGTCTGGACAACGCCGGTGCGCGGCGCGGAGGAGCAGTGGGGAGGCGAGGACTCCCCGGCGGCGCCGTCTTCAGACTCGGAGGCGGACTGCGGGAGCGCGGACGGGCTGTGGGGGCTGCCCGTGGAGCAGACCGCGCGCAGGCCCGAGTGCGGCCGCTGCAGGTGACGGGGCGGGGCGGGGCGGTCAGGGCGGGGCTGCGCGGC